CCACCTCTGCGTTCTGGTACTTTCAGTATAAATCCACACCAAACTAATTTCACTGAAGTGTTCTTCCCAAAAAGAACTAAAACCCAAAAACCAAACAGTAAAAAATTTCACACTGACTGTTTTAGGTGAAACTCCGATTATATGGACATAACCTACAAAAAAATTGTTACACTATCATTAATGAAAAAATTAACGAAAAGTTGACACAATATTCAGATACTCAAGTCAGGGATGACCAACTTTTAATGTTCGCCGTTACGTTGCCGTTGCCGTTGGGTTTTCAACCTATCAAATTGCGGTAGTGTGCAGCGCTGCCAACCTGAAGGAAAATCCCCTCAAGTAATCTGGTTGGCAGCACTAATTCCACGAAAATCAAATTTTACTTATGCCTTGTTAAAGATAGTTCTCGATGTTTATATCAACAAGATTTATTGCTATTCGTCTCAAAAACAGATAAAGTATTATAACTACAAGGGCTTGCATTTTGCCCTTTTTTCTTAATATGTGTAGTCTTCTTTTCACAACAACAAAGGTAAAACATGTTTAAAATGGTAAATTTTTGTAGGAAACTGTCGATTTTACAATTAGGCTCCGCCCCTCGGTCTGACAACGAATGAAAAATTCATCAGGATTGGAGTCGAGGCGGATGGGTGGGGTTTCTCTTTTGTTTTTTTTTTTTAATTAATACATTTTAGTTTTCTTTGTATAACACGATTACTTAAGAACACATTTCACATGGTAATTCATCGAAGAAAAATAAGGATTTTATAATTAAACTCCGCCCCTCGGCTTAGCACGAATAAAAAAATCATCAGAATTGAGATCGGGCGGGTGGGTGGGGATTATATTTTGCCTTTTTTTCTTAATATATGTAGTCATCTTTTCACAACAAGATACTAAAACGTAGTGAAAATGGTACAATTTTGCAAGGAAATATGGATTTTACAATTATGGGGCGAAACCTAATTGCAAAATCAACATTTCCTTATATAAATTTTCTACACATATTAAAAAAAAAAGACAAAATGTAAGCCCGCCCACCCGCCCTATCACAATTGTAATGATTTTTTTTATTCGCTATGAACCAAGAGGGCGGAGTTTAACTGCAAAATACTTATTTCTTTACAAAAACATGTTTTTGAGTATCGTGGTGTTCAAAGAATACTACGTATATTAAGAAAAACAGGCAAAATATAAACCCCGCCCACCCGCCCCGTCTCAATTGTAATGATTTTTTAATCTTAGAAACCTAAAACACGTTTCAAATGGTATTTTTTTGTAAGGAAATATGGATTTTGCAATTAGGCTCCGCCCCTAGGTCTGCCAACGAATGAAAACTTCAATACCATTTAGATTAGGGTGCGTGCAAATGAAAAAGGTACGACCCGTTTTACTATCTACAGGATGTTACTAAAATACAATCATATAAAATTGGACAGTCTGGTAGTTTCGAAAATTGTTTTAAAAATCGACATAGACTACAGACAGGAAAAATAAAAAAACAATGAACATTAAAAAATCGAAAAAATAAAAATACAAACAACGAGAAATAGAAAGATGTAAAATTTTGAAAAAATTGAAGAATTGAAAAATTGAAAAATCCCAAAGTTGAAATGGCAAAAATTGAGACAAGTGGAAATATCGAAAAATGCGAAAATCGAAAAGTCGAAAAATCGAAAAACGTAGGAATGGAAAAATTGAAACATTGAAAAATTAAAGGATTGAAACATCGAGAGAAAATTTTAAAAATTCCAATTTAAAAATTCAGAAAATTGAAAAATAGAAAAATCGAAGAACTGAATTGTGTTTAAGTATCTTGTTGTTGAAAGAAAACTATTTATGTTAAGAAAAAAAAAACCGCCCCGATCTCAATTGTGATGATTGTAATCAGAACGAGGAGCGGACTTGAATTGCAAAATCCATATTTGTATAAAAATGTGTACCCTTTTAAAAACATATTTCACATGGTAATTTCTTGTAGAAAAATGAGGATTTTGCAACTAAGCTCCGCCCCTCGGCTCAAACAATGAATAAAAAATTCATCACAATTGAGAATGGGTGGGTGGGCGGGGCTTAAATTTTGACCATTTTTTCTTAAAATACAAAGTCAGTTATCCCAACAAGAAACTGAAAACATGTTAACATCCTGTTGTTGAAAGAAAACTCTATATATTAAGAAAAAAAAAATGATTAAGCACGACCCACCCATCCCGATCTCAATTATGACGAATTTTTCATTTGTTGTCAGACCGAGGGGCGGAGCGCCAATTGCAAAATTCATATTTCCCCACACAAATTTACCATTTTGAACATGCCTTAAGTTTCTTGTTATTAAAAGAAGACTAGGTATATTAAGAAAAAAGGCAAAATATAAGCCCCGCCCACCCACCCTATCTCAATTGTGATGATTTTTTCATCATCGTGAGCCTAAGGATAGATCTTAATTTCAAAATCCTCGTTTCTCTACATAAAATTGCTATGTGAAATATCTTTTTAAGTTGTTGAAAGAAAACTATACAGATTAAAAAGTTGAAGATTAAACATCCTGATCTCAATTGTGATGAATTTTTCATTCGTTGTTAGACTAATGGCCGGAGCGTAATTACAAAATCGATATTTCCTTATACAAATTTTCCATTTTACACATGTTTTAAGTTTCATATTGCGAAAAAAAGTCTATGCATATTAAAACAAAAAAAACAAAATGTAAGCCCGCCCACCCGCCCTATCTCAATTGCATGATCTTTTTTATTCGCTATGAATCAAGAGGGCGGAGCTTAACTGCAAAATACTTATTTCTTTACAAGAAATTAAAAACATGTTTTGAGTACCGTGTTGTTCAAAGAATACTATGTATATTACGAAGAAAAAGGCAAAATATTGACCCCGCCCACCCACCCCATCTGAGTTGTGGTGATTTTTTTTATTCTTAGAAACTTAAAACACTTGAAATGAAAACTTCATTACTATTTAGATCAGGTCAGGTATTGGTGAGGCTTAATTTTTGGCTTTATTTTCTTCTTAATATACATGGTATTCTTTGAATAACATGATACTCGAAAACATGTCTTGGTAATTTCTTGGATATAAATAATAAAGATTTTGTCATTAAATTCCGCTCCTTTGGCTCTCGACGATTAAAAAAAGAATCATCACAATTGAGACAGGGCGGGTGGGCGGGGCTTATATTTTTCCTTTTTTCTTAATATACGTAGTCGTCTTTTCAGAACAAGACGTTTAAAATGGTAAATTCTTGTAGAGAAATAGAGATCTTGCAATTAAGCCCCGCTCCTCGATCTGACAACGAATGAAAAATTCATCACAATTGAGAATTGAGATCGGGGCAGGTGTGGGTGGGGCCAAATCTTTGGCTATATTTTTTCTCAATATACGAGTTCATAGCATTCTTTGAACAACAGGATACTCAAAAACATATTTTTAATATCTCGTAGAGAAATAAGGATTTTGCAGTTAAGTTCCGCCTTCTTGGCTCACGACGAATAAAAAAATCATCACAATTGAGACAGGGCGGGTGGGCGGGACGACATTTTGCCTTTGTCTCTTAACATGTGTAGACTTATTTCGACAACAAGAAACTTAAAACATGTTTAAATGGTAAATTCTTGTAGTAATCAACTTAAATCCTCCACTTTTCTTCTACAGCCCTTTTAAATAGGGCAAAAGGGGAACATCAAAATTACTATCAACGGGAACTTGGCAACGTTTATAAATGACAATTTTCAGCTCTAAAAGTAACGTCAGCGGGAACAGCAACTGCAACGGGAACTTCAACGTCAACAACAAGTTTATAAATACCACTTTAGTGCTGAAATTGAGTTCATCAAAAGTAGGGTTATAAATCACTGTGTGTGATGGGAGTGGACCATGAATCTTCCTCCAGTGACCCACAGAGAGATTTTCAAAACATGAGAGGCAAACCCAAGCAATGGGAAAGTCAAAATTTTCACTCACGTTTAAAACGTCTAAAAATAATAATTGTTTTGACTTACTTACTCAAAATTTTGTTAACTTTCCAAAATTTTGTTAATAATAATTATTGTTCCATTCGGCATCCCTGCCTCTCGTCTGTCAGTCTAGTCAGGTCTACCAACTTAGAGTACAATTTTTTTAAATTAAACTTAAGGAAACCAAAATGTCTACATTTAGAACTCTGTCTATCCAAAAAATGTCTCACTTTCGTACTCAAATCAATCATCAATTTGTACATTACATTACATTACGCGAAGCGATTAAGATGCCGAAATTCTGTAAACGCTATTGTTTCTATCTTAAAGGGGGAAGAATCAGCGTTTGAATACAGCTTTGAAGTTTGGTTTACAGTCTTCAGGATGCTGAGATAGTCATTGCCAGAATAGAGGTATCCGCCATAATAGGTTAGAATTTAGTATATACCGAAAAACCAACACTCTTACCTATACCACTGTTATTTCCTAGTACTGTCCTCAATTCAGTCTTTCTTATTTGTTTTCAAAGGGTTGACAAAAATTTGCTTGTTTTAAACTCAATCCATCTTTCAAACGATTCTGACACCTGAAAGACAAAACGAGGTTAAAAGAACAATAACAGTTTATACAATCAGGAGCAAACATTACAGTTAGATGTAAAAAACCCAGAATTGCCCAATATATATTTGAAAATGGCCACAGAAAAAATTAATCTTGCTCACAATTAAAAGATACTAGACGCTTTAGAGTCTCTAGAAAGAGTTAAAAACAACGATACTGTGAAATCTGATAATAATAGATAATAAACATAATTTTTAAATGGGCTTCTACAACTTGTTGAAGTGCTTTATACTGCAATTACGCTGAAATAGCTTTTATTGTAATAAAATACTAATACCGCTGAAATTCTTTCTTCAAGCTAAAACCATTAGCGTTTACAAATCCTATACAACTGTTTTCAATGCTTTTTCCAACCATGAAACATTCTTCTCGCGCCTCTCGAGTCCACCTCTGACCCTTTTCCCTCTGTTGCAGCTAAGCGAAGAACTGGGTTACGTGCTGTACTCGGCACTGGGCTCGTTCTACATCCCATCATGCATAATGGTGTTCGTGTACATACGCATCTACTACGCGGCCAAAGCCCGCGCCCGGCGCGGCATCCGGAAGCCGCCGCGCCGGCAGCCGCACGACGCCGTCACCAGCTTCACGAACGTGGTGCCGCTGACGAAGAAGGAGAGCGACGACGCGGGGGCGGGCGCCTCCGTCGATCGCAACAGCAACACGTCGCCGCGGGACGGCGACAGACAAATCGCCACCATCGAGGCGATCCCCTGCCCCATGCCCATTCCCACCGTCACGTGTGATCTAGCATCCGATATATCAACCAGTGACGCGGGAGAAATCACCGCCGAGACGCTGGAACAGAAGGATACGCTCAAGGTTTGTACGATTGACAATGACGGACCGAAATGCGAGCCGACGTGCGACACGGACGACACCCAAGTAGGTTATGGGGTTGAAAGGGAGGGTAGAGGTAGATTGGTGTTGTGACGAGTAAAGAGCGGATTTTAGGCAGCTTGTCAGAACAGGTTCTGGAGGCTATAGACAAACTAGAATCCGCTCTTTAGTGATAGAAGTCGCGACAGAAACGGTCGTAGTTGCAGTGGAACCTACGAATTTTTTTCTATGAGTTAGTATGAGTATTGTAGATGGTTCTGTGCGATGTACAAGTTGGTGGCGTTTCTAGTTTTGTTTAGAAGTGTCGATAAAATTACTTGTCTTCGGCTTATCTCCCGCCTCATATAAAATTGCATTAGAGCGTTTCAGAGGGAGCTACACAATGTTTCGTGCCTATAGCAATTACAGAAACTTTGCAGAACAGGCAGCTACTTTCCGTCTGGGTTGGTTCGCGTCGAGTATGTTTCATTTTTGCGTAATGCCCAGGGAGTGATGCAAGAAGGGGTGTACGAAGGTGGAAAATGAGTGTTGAAAAGCGGCAATCCTCTCGAGCTTCTGAGGCATTCGTCGTACGGCTCGTTGAGATCAGAAAAGGTTTTTTGACAAGTTTATGGGTCATATCTTTTTATAACTACATTAGCAATCTTGTAACTTTTTACTTTAAAAAAGTTCGCTTTTATTTCGTCGCTTACTTATTAAGTTTGTTGAAGACTCCATCAGTAGCGGAGGTTATGTTCAAGTTTGCTTTTGTCAGGAACATACAAGAGTTTGATGGTGGCTTCCAGGGGCGCAAAGTGCTCGGAATAAAGAAATTATGAGCTGGGGAAGACAGTAAAAAAGAAAATGACTGACCGGACGTCCACGAAGTCCCTTTATTTTCAGATAAATTGTTACGGTTGCCAAATGATCCACTCCATTATTTAAGCATTATTTCCATAAAGTTTAATTAAACGGTTTCTTTTATAGGGTCATAAAAATTATGGGTTTGAATAAATGTCAGCTGAAAGGAAATTAACGACTTCATTTGCAATTTTTCGCGCCGATATAGCATTCATGTTAGTGTTTTAAAGTCTTTACAACTTTTGGAATTCTCAACTCGAATCGTGCCATGCTTCCAAGTTTTATACTTTTGTTGTGAGACCATTGAGTTTTTGTTCGTTAGGAGGCTAATATTGGAAGTCGTAACGAGCAGATATAGCGCTGCAAACTTATCAAGACACCAGAAAAGCGTCACGAAAGAAATCTTCAACTCACAACTTTCGAAGTAGTTTGCATTCGGCACCTTTCATTTCTCGAACGTGAAATACACAAGCAGACAATCAGGTCACAGGGACGAATGTGTATTTTCATGTTGTTTCTCCAAATCCAGGTTAAAAAACTGGTGCCCGAGTCCGTATTATAGGTGCTGCATATGCACAACCTTGTTCTTGTTTGAGTGATAGTAATGACGTCCGCACTATTTCTAATCGATATACAATACAGTTCGTGCATTAAGTAGAATGATAAACCTCTCATAATCCTCCTAGTGCTCCTTGAAGCCTCGACACGGTCCAGTTTTTGCTGTCATTTATAAATAAGTGGATGCACTTCACAAAGTCGGCACTAGCGAGAACACTTTCAAGCTATTATCAAATCCACTTATCGATACTTCCTCCCGAACCTTATCGATTTACTCCTCACGTCAACTCTCCCGGCCGCATCCTCCCGCAAATCCTTACCCCTTTAAAAACTACAAACCCCCCATCTCCATTGCACCCGCTGCACTCCATCAAAACCCTCTCCCGTCATCAATAATTCAGAAACCTGTAGAGCCCCGGGCCGAAAGTAGTTGTTTTGTGTGCGGGAATTGAAAGAGATTTGTTGGAAACTTTAGTAAACTTTACTACAACTAAAATATTTAAGTAAGGCAGTTTATTGTTCAGAACTTCTCCCCGATGGGCTTGATGATGAGGTCGTGCACTTGGCAATTGGGTGACGTCGACAGGGCGTAAATGACAGCATCAGCGCAGTCGGACGAGGCGAGCGCGGCCCTGGATTTGCGCTCCTCCAGCGTCTTCGCGTCCAAATAAATATTACTGGTCTCATCGATTTCGGTAGCTACGACTCCGGGGCTGACGCTCTGGAAAGGTTTTCTCAGCTCATCAATCGCCTAAAAGCCAGCCTGTTCTCGCTTACCGTCACTTTGATTTTCGAGCTGATGGTGTTGAGCTCGGTGCGGAGGGTCTCCGTGAGGGCGGTCACGGCGAACTTGGAGGCGGCGTACACGTTCATGTAGAGGAAGTAGTTGACGATGTGGCCGGACACGCTGTTGATATGGATAATATGACCGTCAACATTGTTAGCCCGCATGGTGCGCACGGCTTCTCGGGTGGCGATGCACAAGCCCAAGACATTAATGTCGAGGATAGTTTTCCATTTCTGGGTCTCCCCGTCGATGAGGTTCGTGTCTTGAAGCACCCCGGCGTTGTTAATCAAAATATGGACAGGGCCCAAGTTCTTCTCAGTCCATTTGAAGGCATTCAGAATGTCTTCTTCCACACCAACGTCGGCTTTCAAAGCGTAAAGCTTACCTTTCTTGCCTTCCAGTTCCTTGACTAGCTTCTCGATGCGTTCGACCCTCCGGGCTAAACCAACGACCTGCAGCGAGATTAGCAAAATCTACGAGACCCAAAAAAGTGTGTGTATTTACCAGGACCCCTTCGTCGACTAGTTGCTTCACTATTTCTACACCGATTCCCGCGCTGGCGCCTGTGACTATTGCCACCTTGCCTCTCCAGCGGTCCATAGAAAGCGGCATTTTTTCGTTCAGATAGTTTAGGCTTCTCTTGGCAATTAGTGTGTGTGTTTTGACAATAACATGAGGAACGGCACACTTTTATAGCGTGTGTTGAGTGCTTTTCCAGATTAATGCGTTTTTTTACTTAACGCGATGACTTTCACAAAATGTTGTGACCTTAAATCGATCGAACCGAATTTGTTGTGTGTTTCGTCACCTTGCACTCTTATCTGAGACGTCATTGTGTCCGATAGCGCCTTATCTACGCCATCTGATAACAGTTGCGCCGAGTCATCCAGTTCGAAGATGTTAAAGGGAAATTGCAGGCGACAAACAATTAGTGTTGAGCCCTAATATATGCACGTGGTAATAATACAGAGAGCTCATTGTCATGCATTGACGTACGAAACAATATCCAGACTGCATAATAATTATTATCTTGGAGCACATTACCTGTAGACGAACGTGCACGAGTAATATACGCCGAAATTCCTTAAATAAACTACGAAATGAGGGAGTAGGGTTTTAAACAGCCGGCTCCCAGAGCAGATTACAAAGTAACAACAGCTCTGGAAATTTTAAAGCTGATAGATAGAGAAGCTTCAAAGCTAGAGCCGCGTGTATGATACATAACTAAAACCAACACTATAATCCACTTTCTACAAACTGAATGTTTTCAGGGAATGGCAGGAATTGTGCAAATTTAGGTCAGGCGATATTACGTTGAAATTACAAAATTCAGATCATTCTCTACATGTCTGAGCATCCTATTTGCGGAAGTCGATCAAACTGCTCGATTTAGGAAAATTCTCTCGCGACGTGACTGTTGCAGGCGTCATACGATTCCGATTCCCGATAAATCTGGAAAGAGTTTAAATCTGGATTAAATCGTGGGTGATTAAAAGCGAGTTGCGGAACGATCGCTGAAAATTCGGAAACATTTGACGTCATCGAAAAGGCGCTAAGCAATTCTTGGATCGATACAACCACCGAGCGAATTATAAGTAAACTAAGCCGTTTTTCCGCAACTCCCATTGGTGCAGTTTGCATCCGAAGCCACTTTTCTAACCGTTTTAAATAAAAGCGTCTATGTAACCATCTCGGTCTTGCAGACCGCAAGCACGCTGAATCAGAACAACGTCTGTAATTCTGGACCGCAATCGCAAAACTAACAATCAAGGATTATATTGTCTCTGTTCGAATATAGCGACGAAACAAGTTCTGTACTCGCTATCGAAACCACCGAAACCGCTCTCCTCCGTAAGTAAATATAGCTGACACAATTAAATTGGCATTAAGTGGAAAATCTACAAGTTGAATCAGTTAAGGCGATTACCGACGAAAAACCCCCCAATGGATTATTCTTTTAGAGAAACCCCAAACTTACACTAAATCGATGCTTTTACAATCCCTGCAAGTCCTGTAATGAAATTTCGAGATTTTTTCACCCCTTGCGTGACCGAAATCTTAATCCAGATACTTCCGACGACCCAGCCCGTATTAATTTTTTGGCGCGCTTAAAATTCTAGCGTGTCGCACGATTATATTAATTTAATTGAATGTTAGCTCGGGTATGGGAATTACTTTAATCAAGGGAGTGGGAACTGAAACCGCTATTTTTGAGATTTTTAATGTATAGCCGGAATTGATGTATTTTTGGTGTTAATTTAATTGCAAAAGGGTTTTAATGCGGACAGATTACTCGACAATTCAATTTGCAAAATTGCATTTGTTCAGATATTGTAAATGGGCGGCTGGGATCGGTAAGCCTCCAGTTAGATTTACGATATTTTTAGATATATTGTACCCCGGTATAAAGGATTCGATGCATAATGGGAATATTACAAAAGATTGCGCGCGATAAAGTGACATGCTAGCAAAATTTACGAATCCTACTAGCTGGTAGTTGTTGAAGTGTGCTGTTGTTATTGGGTGATCATCAACTCCAGTCCAACGTCATATTTCATTACTCTGGTACCCGGAGGGCCTTGATCCCTTGCCTTAACTCCCGTCCAAACTGACAAGAGCACCTATTGTAAACTATACATAAATTTTAGTTGTGCCTTTTTAAATTCCAATTCAGTTTTAGCACTTTGGTAAAGGTCCGAGAGGCGCTGTCCCCTGGTAGTGAGTTACTGAAAATATCGGTCGAACTGTTCTACAGATCTCTATTTCCTACTGTAGTAGTTGCGCATTGTTTAGGCTTAAGTGGGATTTATAAACTTGCTGTTACCACTGACGTTGCATCTAGAACTGAAAATTGTTATCTATAAACTTCGTTGCCAAGTTCCCGCTGATAGTAACTTTGACGTTCAACTTTTTCCGTATTTAAAGGGGTTGTAGACGAAAAGTGGCGGATTTAAGTTGATTACTACAAAAATTTACCATTTTAGACATGTTTTAAGTTTCTTGTTGCCTAAATAAGTCTACACATATAAAAAAAAAGGCAAAATGTAGCCCCGCCCACCCGCCCTATCTCAATTGTGATGATATTTTTTTATTCATCGTGAGCCAAGAGGGCGGAGCTTAATTGCAAAATACATATTTCCGTACGAAACAATCACCATTTTAAATGTGTTTTAGGTTTGTAAGAATAAAAAAAATTAACACAGTCGAGATGGGGCGGGTGGGGCGGGTTATATTTTGCCTTTTTTTGTTATTGCATTCTAAAACCCATACTCCAGAATAAAATAAAATTATTACTCAAAATTAAATATATATATTAGGGATGGTACAAGCAATTTGTTGTTGGATATATATGTACAAAATAGATATAGACATTAATGAATGGCAGAATCCAGGGATAAGAGCGGCAGTCGACGCAGCCTCCTCGTCACGGTTGAAGTTGAATTCCGGTTATCTGGGCGATCCGCTCGTCGTAGAAGGAATTGGGCAATTTGCCGTTCATCGTAAAGTGGGATTTATAAACTTACTGTTGACTCCGTCGCCAAGTTGCCGCTGAAAGTAACTTTGACGTTCAACTTTTGCCGTATTTAAAGGGGTTGTTGAAGAAAAGTGGCGGATTTAAGTTGATTACTACAAAAATTTACCATTTTCAACATGTTTTAAGTTTCTTGTTGCCTAAATAAGTCTACACATATTAAGAAAAAAAGGAAAAATGTAGCCCCGCCCACCCACCCTATCTCAGTTGTGATGATTTTTTCTTTATTCGTCGTGAGCCAAGAGGATGGAGTTTAACTGCAAAATTCTTATTATTTCTCTACAAGAAATTAGCATATAAGACATGTTTTTTAGTGTCGCGTTATTCGAAGAATACTATGTTACTATGTATATTAAGATTAAGAAAAAATTAAAGCCAAAGATCAAGCCCCACCCATACCTACCCTGATCTAGATAGTAATGAAGTTTTCATTCGTTGGCAGACCTAGGGGCGGAGCCTAATTGCAAAATACATATTTCCGTACAAAAAAAATACCATTTTAAATGTGTTTTAGGTTTGTAAGAATAAAAAAAATCAACAAAATCGAGATGGGGGGGTTGTATTTTCCCTTTTTTTCTTAATGTATTCTAAAACCCATAGTGCAGAATAAAATAAAATGAATACTCAAAATTAAATACTCTAGGGATGGTACAAGCAATTTATTGTTGGATATACCTATATGTACAAAACAGATATAGGCATTAATGAATGGCAGGATCCAGGGATAAGTGCGGCAGTCGAGGCAACCTCCTGGTCACGGTTGAAGTTGAATTCTGGTTCTCTGTGCGATCCGCTCTTCGTAGAAGGAATTGGGCAATTCGCCGTTCATCGTAAAGTAGGATTTGTAAACTTACTATTGACTCCGTCGCCAAGTTGCCGCTGATAGTAACTTTGATGTTCCACTTTTGCCGTATTTAAAAGGGTTGTAGACGAAAAGTGACGGATTTAAGTTGATTGCTACAAAATTTTACCATTTTAGACATGTTTTAAGTTTCTTGTTGCCGAAATAAGTCTACACATATTAAGAAAAAAAAAGGCAAAATGTAGCCCCGCCCACCCGCCCTATCTCAATTGTGATGACATTTTTTTATTCGTCGTGAGCCAAGAGGGCGGAGCTTAATTGCAAAATACATATTTCCGTACAAAACAGTTACCATTTTAAATGTGTTTTAGGTTTGTAAGAATAAAAAAATCAACACAGTCGAGATGGGGTGGGTGGAGGGGGGGGTTATATTTTGCCTTTTTTTGTTATTGCATTCTAAAACCCATACTCCAGAATAAAATAAAATTATTACTCAAAATTAAATATATATATTAGGGATGGTACAAGCAATTTGTTGTTGGATATATATGTACAAAATAGATATAGACATTAATGAATGGCAGAATCCAGGGATAAGAGCGGCAGTCGACGCAGCCTCCTCGTCACGGTTGAAGTTGAATTCCGGTTATCTGTGCGATCCGCTCGTTGTAGAAGAAATTGGGCCACTCTCCGTGATCGTAAAGTGAGGTTTATAATCTTACTGTTGACTTCGTCGCCAAGTTGCCTTTTATAGTAACTTTGATGTTCAACTTTTGCCGTATTTAAAGCGGTTGTAGAAGAAAAGTGGCGGATTTAAGTTGGTTACTACAAACATTTACCATTTTAGACATGTTTTAAGTTTCTTGTTGGCGAAATAAGTCTACACATATTAAGAAAAAAAGGAAAAATGTAGCCCCGCCCACCCACCCTATCTCAATTGTGATGATTTTTTTTTTATTCGTCGTGAGCCAAGAGGGCGGAGCTTAACTGCAAAATTCTTATTATTTCTCTACAAGAAATTAGCATATAAGACATGTTTTTGAGTGTCGCGTTATTCGAAGAATACTATGTTACTATGTATATTAAGATTAAGAAAAAATTAAAGCCAAAGATCAAGCCCCACCCATACCTACCCTGATTTAGATAGTAATGAAGTTTTCATTCGTTGGCAGACCTAGGGACGGAGCCTAATTGCAAAATACATATTTCCGTACAAAAAAATACCATTTTAAATGTGTTTTAGGTTTGTAAGAATAAAAAAAATCAAGAAAATCGAGAGAGATGGGGGGGGTTATATTTTCCCTTTTTTTCTTAATGTATTCTGAAACCCATAGTGCAGAATAAAATAAAATGAATACTCAAAATTAAATACTCTAGGGATGGTACAAGCAATTTATTGTTGGATATACCTATATGTACAAAACAGATATAGGCATTAATGAATGGCAGGAACCAGGGTAAGTGTGGCAGTCGAGGCAGCCTCCTCGTCACGGTTGAAGTTGAATTCCGGTTCTCTGTGCGATCCGCTCGTCGTAGAAGAAATTGGCCCATTCGTCGTGATCGAAAAGTGGGGTTTATAAACTTACTGTTGGCTCCGTCGCCAAGTTGCCGCTGAAAGTAACTTTGACGTTCAACTTTTGCCGTATTTAAAGGGGTTGTTGAAGAAAAGTGGCGGATTTAAGTTGATTACTACAAAAATTTACCATTTTCAACATGTTTTAAGTTTCTTGTTGCCTAAATAAGTCTACACATATTAAGAAAAAAAGGAAAAATGTAGCCCCGCCCACCCACCCTATCTCAATTGTGATGATTTTTTTTTATTCGTCGTGAGCCAAGAGGGCGGAGTTTAACTGCAAAATTCTTATTATTTCTCTACAAGAAATTAGCATATAAGACATGTTTTTTAGTGTCGCGTTATTCGAAGAATACTATGTTACTATATATATTAAGATTAAGAAAAAATTAAAGCCAAAGATCAAGCCCCACCCATACCTACCCTGATCTAGATAGTAATGAAGTTTTCATTCGTTGGCAGACCTAGGGGCGGAGCCTAATTGCAAAATACATATTTCCGTACAAAAAAAATACCATTTTGAATGTGTTTTAGGTTTGTAAGAATAAAAAAAAATCAAGAAAATCGAGAGAGATGGGGGGGGGGGGTTATATTTTCCCTTTTTTTCTTAATGTATTCTAAAACCCATAGTGCAGAATAAAATAAAATGAAAACTCAAAATTAAATACTCTAGGGATGGTAGAAGCAATTTATTGTTGGATATACCTATATGTACAAAACTGATACAGGAATTAATGAATGGCAGGATCCAGGGATAAGTGCGGCAGTCGAGGCAACCTCCTCGTCACGGTTGAAGTTGAATTCCGGTTCTCTGTGCGATCCGCTCTTCGTAGAAGGAATTGGGCAATTCGCCGTTCATTGTAAAGTGGGATTTATAAACTTACTATTGACTCCGTCGCCAAGTTGCCGCTGATAGTAACTTTGATTTTCCACTTTTGCCGTATTTAAAAGGGTTGTAGACGAAAAGTGACGGATTTAAGTTGATTGCTACAAAAATTTACCATTTTAGACATGTTTTAAGTTTCTTGTTATCTAAATAAGTCTACACATATTAAGCAAAAAAAGAAAAATGTAGCCCCACCCACCCACCCTGTCTCAATTGTGATGATTTTTTTATTCGCAGTGAGCCAAAGGGTGAAGCTTAACTGCAAAATCTAAATATTGTTACGTTGATCAGTGACTGAAAATCGGCGTGGGTAAAACTCAACAATTTATTTCTTAATAACTCGAATTTACACGGCTGATTACACAGCGCAACTTGAGTGTTTCTCTTAATATTCGCTGGATTCGACTACCCTGCTCCCGACGGTGGTTCCTATTTAAACAGCCACGCGGTCCTTCTAGAAACGCCTCGGTCGCCGCTTCTAGACTTGTCTGGAGCACCTATTCGCGAATTCTGCTTCCAGGCTCTTCTTTAATGAACGCCGTCCGGCCGCCGTCACCGCTGCACATACTAGAAAACCCATAAGTGTCATACCGGTGCGGCGTATGGATTTGTTTCGTAACAATATGTAGTAATGAACTTTTCATTCGTTGCCAGACCTAGGGGCAGTCCATATTTCCTTACAAAAGTTTACCACTTTAAACGCGTTTCAAGTTTCTAAGAATGAAAAATTGATCACAATTGGGATGGGGTGGATGGGCGGGGTTTATATTTTGTCTTTTTTTCTTAATATACATAGTATTCTTTGAACAACACGATACTCAAAAACATGTTTTTAATTTCTTGTAAAGAAATAAGTATTTTGCAGTTAAACTCCGCCCCCTTGGTTCACGGCGATTAAAAAAATTATCACAATTGAGACAGGGCGGGTGGGCGGGCTTAGATATTGCCTTTTTGTTTTAATACATATGTGTAGACTTCCTTTCACAACAAGAAACTTAAAACATGTTTAAATTGGAAAATTTGTATAAGGAAATGTCGATTTTGCAACTAGGCTCCGCCCCATTATTGCAAAATCCATATTTCCTGGTAAAAATGTACCATTTTAACCATGTTTTTTGTTTCGTGTGGTGAAAAGATGGTATATTAAGACAAAAATGGCACAATATGAGCCTCACCCACCCACCCTGTCTCAATTCTGATATTTTTTTTCATTCGTCGTAAGCCGAGGGGCGGAGCGCAATTGCAAAATCGAAAAAACTGCACACTAGACATGAATATAAATTAAAGCCTTAGTGCCGACCGGAGTTAAGATATCCGAATAGTGAACGCCCGACCTGAACCAGAGTTAACAATCTCTCTTATTTTAACGACTCATGAATATCTAGACTCAGTTTAACTGCAAATTTGTTGGATATGCAACAACAAAGTAGTGCTAGTTTAATATTGTTTAGGTTCCACTGCATAAAAATAGTACGCGTTTTTGCTGTTCAGTAGAAGTCGGTTATAACATCGAAGGGGCGATTTTAGAGTTGGCGCAGAATCTGCACTGTAAGGTAAGCCAAAAACCAAAAATCGATACTAATAATTGACGTTACAGCCGAATTCTCGTAAAAACTAGTCCTTTTATGTCTAAGTAGCCAAATTTGTCAGTACGGTCCTGCTTGTCAGTCGATCCATCTAGAGTGATGGGTGGTGCGGCAGGAAGCACCCGTAAACAAATCATAAAACTGTTTGAGCGTTAATCATCCGGTAAAGCGGATCATTCGTTTCCGCTAGAGCCGACCGCACCCACGTAGGGTCCCCGGTAAAAGTGTGCGTTCCGTATGACTAGATCAGTAGAGCGTAAGCCCCGGCAAGTGCATCTTGCAGCATCCCCCGGCGCAAATCCCGTCCACTTTTCCGGTTCGTTGGCCGCTTTGGCGGCATCGAGCCCGCTTTCGGTAGCTAATTGGCGTCCCGTTTTTCCGCCATAGCAGCAATGACAGATCGTCCTGTTTCAGGTGTTCACAAGTGCCCAGGTGTCCCGCAACCCGCTGGCGCAGAGCCAGTTCCGGGGCTCGACGCTGTCCGTGAACGGCGAGCTGCAGCAGCAGGCGGCGGCCATGGCCCGCATGCGGCAGCCTTCCATGGGCATCGACACAGACATGGTGAGCGAGTTCGACCCCAGCAGCTCGGACTCGGGTGTAGTGTCCCGGTGCGCGGTGGTGAAACCCCTCAAACTGCGTCTGTGCAAGCCGATTTTCGGGCGGAAGGCGGGCAAGAGCCGGCGGGCCGGCAAGGACAAGGCCTGCCCCAGCAAGGAACACATCGTCGAGGAGGTGCCGCGGGTGCAGAAGCCGCGCGACCCCGAACGCGAGAAGCGCCGCATCGCCCGGAAGAAGGAGAAGCGCGCCACGCTCATCCTCGGCCTCATCATGGGCTCGTTCATCGCCTGCTGGCTGCCGTTCTTCTTCATGTACATCCTCAGACTGGCCTACCACATTCCGGCCATCGCCTTCTCCACGGCCTTCTGGCTGGGGTACATGAACTCGGCGCTCAACCCGGTCATCTACACCATCTTCAACAAGGACTTCCGGAGGGCCTTCCGGCGGATCCTGTTCAAGTGATGTTTGGCGTACGTGTGCTGCTACGAGTGCGTCAGCCGACGGATACGCACGGCGCAGTACCGCAGCGCACCGAGCGCCCTCTACCGACGCTGAACTCTCGACAATCTGAACGTTATGTGCTCTTCGATATACGTGTGTACATCGTTATTCTTGTTAGGTACGGATGGCGCAATCGTCGTCAACTCACGCGCGGAACTCCCGACAGGTGGCGCTGCGGGGGGCGGCGCGCGCACTGGCCACGCCCATGTCACTAGAAATACCGCTGCGAAACGTTGCTGAACGCCGGTCTCTATGTATTTATATTTAACTGTTGACGCGTTGTGTTTTGCGTTATTGCCATAAGTACAAAAGTTATCACTACTACCTTTAAAGGCATCATTCTAAAGGTATCTCGATCGACATCAAACAAGTTATTTGCCTTAATATGTGTTGTTTCACTGTTCCCCTTGCATATATCAAACCGAGATCGTTCCACTTCCAACGCAGGTTTTATCCACTTCCAGTACTGTTTGTGTCGTAGCTTTTAAGATTAGACAAACATAATACTCGAGTTTTATTATCAAAACCGTTACGAGTTGACCACGATTGTTAGATTTTATTTGACTCTATTGTAATAATAAAATATGGAGCAATGACTACCACTGTGATAATATAACGCTTTCATTCTGGAATTTATCGTAAATAGTCTAAAGAATACAAACTATTATGTGTTTTTAAAAATCTTCGATGTTTAGGTACTTCATTTCTTGTACATACTTAAGCGACATGCATGACGAACGAACCAGAAACCGCCACCGGAAAGCAATGCCCGGGCGATACTCACACACACGTTTTTACCTCCCCGGTAGTACAGTCGGTCGTAAATCACCTAGAACTAGACACCCTGAACATTAAAGGCGAAACTTCCCTCTTCTAATGAGCCACGAAGACCTATTTTTGTTATATAAAAAAAATGACACCGAACCTTGCCCTATATAGTGTTGACAAATAGAAGTGGCAGACCTAATTTTTAAGACCATAATAGGATTACCACAAAAGTATGAACTGCATAGGGGCAAAATTAAGATAAATCAAGTGAAGCAACATTGAAAATATTTGACATAAGTTTATTCTTTAATGGTATTGCTGTTGCCGTCTTAAAAGTTAGGTTTGCCACTTCTATTTTCCAGGGCTATACCTGTCAACGCCAACTTCTTCAGTCTTCCTTGATTTAAACATCATAGTAAAAGTGAGTTTTCAGCACTAAAGGTGTTGTCATTCGGCCGCCATCTTGAAACTAAAGCTGCATTTATTGTCTTTTTTGTTATTAGTAAAAGAATTAAGAAGATCCCCCCCCCCCAAATTATAATTGCACCCTTATTTTTAAGATAGCGGTGGAATGACCACACCCCAAGTGTTCAAAACTCAGTTGGACCTTCAGTTTATTACTGTTCATCTCGGTACCACTTTGATTGTCCGCTCACTACAAAAGCCACCGTAACTTTTGGCTGGGAATTTTCGCCTGTCAATATCAAGGGTACAAAAGCTGGTATTCGGGGGCTCTTCCTCCCGCAAAGCAGCGCCCCACTTCACTCCGGCGCCCGGAAGGGGCTAGTGCGGTCCCTGCGGACCCTCGGACCAACCCAACGCCGCCCGCAGCCGCCGGTGCGCCCTTCCCGGCCCTCCGTTTCGTTCTCGTTGCGCAAAGTCAAAATTGACAAGGGACCAATGAAAGCCGTTTTTAATTATGCGCGTTCCACACAAACACAGCAATAACCGATCTCGGGGGCGGCTTTCCGGCGGCGGTAGCTCGTGCGCTCCCTCAATGTTAATAGGACGCGAATGGAGCGAATGGTGAGAAGTTCTAGTTTAGACACCAATTGTATCAAACCTCTGGAGGCCGTCGGCCGTCACCTCCTCGTGCGTTCCCTCCTCCCGCTCCTCCTAAGACGATGCCTTGGCGAGGTCTCCAGTGGAAGTCTTCCACGAGCCCGCGGGGTCTGCTCTCCGACTCCTGACACAAATTCTTGCAACGAAACTATGGTGCTATTGACTGCTCGCCGGTCGAGCGAAGGGTTCCTCAGGCTCTTCGAGCGACCCAGCGCAGCCCCGCGCGGCGACATCGAAACTCGCCCTGAGCCCGCGATTTTCGATCTCGCGAGCTCTTTATCTTGTTACGTCTCTAGAGTAATTGTTATATAAAGATGAAACCAATTATAAACTGTAATACTGTCCTATATTTGTGTGTGTACATTTCTCGTGTTTATTATAAGATATGAATAAATCAATATGGTACCGAACGGACTTTCAATACTCGGGGAGCTTTCGCCGGATGAATATGGAAGCTGCGGTGTGTTTGGCAATGTGTCATGCCGTGTTTATGGAAATTGAAGAGGCAGATGGTTCGCAAACTCGACGCCACTCTTTCTACATTTGCATACGCGATCAGTTCGCGAGATGAGTGCACTTTTTGCACTAGAAACCCCCGGAATTCGGCTGGGTGAGTAAAAAGGTGCAATGCCTCGGAAGCCCGGAGGTTCTCGGATAAAACTTTACCCTCGTTCGCTACAGGCGCCTCTATAAACAGCAATCAAAATCCAACTTTACGAGCGGTAAGTACTTGATTAAACCGAGTCACTCCACCAATAAGTAATAAATAAACTTCGTGGCTCTCGACGTAATGAAAACGGCTGGCAAACACTACGACAGCAAATTCTATATTTCAATGCAAGGCTGGTTGCCTAGCCAAAATGGAAAATCGCGTATCTCATCTTCATGTTGTTTTATCGATGGATTCTTGCTTAATTCAGCTGCAAAAACGACTCTCATTAACAGAGTTTATTTTAGCCAACGTTTTCACTTTGTTACATCGGTGCGAAAATATTGAATTCTGGTCAATAAACACAGACTTTTTAATTTCGCCGGTTATAAAATCGTAATAAAAAAGGCGCCATTACGCCGTGATCGTAAAACCATACCAGAATCGAAAACACATTTTCATTTTATCAATTCGCATTCTGCAAGGGTGGATTTTGCCCCATCTTAAAACAATAATAATTACAATAATAGTCGAATTCTTCCAAGTATTAATAAACAGTCGAAGTTAAGTAAGTATATGAGAATATATTTTCCCAAAAAAGAATTTATTCTAGAATGACCCCATCACAGTCATAAAACCTGCTGAATGTCAGTTTTATTGCATCGGATCGTTGTCGAAAGGACTATTTCGTATTTTAAAGTTCAGTAAGTACTCTAGTCGAAATAGTGCTACAACTTTCTCCACACGAACAAACCCCGCACAAAAAATTGTAATTTATCTAAATAGCACAAGCCCTCGTTATCTCCGTCCGATTTTATACAGGGCTACAAATTACTCAGGTCAGTTTCTGTTTACCACTGATTGCATTATCTTGCATTCCATAAATTTCAGCGTGATTAACAACAGCAGCGCCAGCGTAAAATTTCATTTAAAAATCCTCATCTGGTTTAACTAAATAAATACAAACATAAACAAACAGTCGATGACCCTGACGGATACCAGAAGTGTCGTGTGAAAAAATTTCCTTCAAAAGGTAAGTCGAAAGAACTCGTTCGATAAAGAATCCGGCGTTACCGTACCGCACTGTGACGAAACTGGGTCGCTATAAATTTGTCTTGTTAAGTGGTATATTAATTTATTCAGTAATGAAATGTTTGAACCTAGTCCGCTCGAAAGAAAGTTTTAATTACTTCAACCCTGAAACAAACGCTCCAAAAGTGAGTTCAAAACAAATAAAGCAATCAAAACGCGGCGAAAAAAATCGCAAAGGCTGTGAATGGGAGTGCCGATTACTTATACGAGAATATATAAATTTTTATCATCTTATTTGTAAGTCAAAGCGAAATTACGACAAATGAATCACGCTAATCCCGTAAAGGAAAACCGGAATATGAATGATCACGGGTTTCCGACAAAGCAGGAGGCTGTAGCTAAGCTAATCGAAACGTAGTGGTGTGCCAAGTTAAAACTTTAAACACGTAGTACGTACATCATTTTAGTGACCTTTGCAATTAAGATGAAGTTGGCCATCACTAGTATGTTTAATTCCACTTTGTTATGCAGTGCCAACTTCGACTGAATTTTCCAACTTTTCCGCAGCATACTTAGTATCCATAAATTTTTTACAAGAACACGCTTAGTTGGTAGCGTGCTGTAATGATTATTTAGGAAATGAAAAATAAACACTGGAGAGCATAAAAATGCACAATTTATGTCCCGCAGACCTCCGAGCTCCGTCTCGTTTTGCAATCTACACCACAGTTATAAAGAACAAATATTTTGCGGTATAATATTGGCTTCGATTCAAGGGTATCACTTTTAAATAATGTACATATCAGACACAAAAATACGTACTTGTAGTTGCGATTAAAAAAAAATATTGCAGTTAAGGTCACCCGAAAAACTAAGTGGAACACTTTGTTTTGCTTTTACGAAATGTGCACCAAGAGTGAGTCAAAAGTCAAGGAATAAACTTAATTTCATTCTTCTGTGCATTTTGAATTTCGTGATTATGAATTCCGACTGTCACAAGAACATTCCGCCGAGTTTGTTAATCGGAATGCTGCAACACTAGACTTATTAGCTGTGAAATGCGTGGAAATACCTGAAAGAGAATATAGTTATTTGACAAAGTGGAAAAAGGACGAGAAAATGGAAAAGGTAGTTTCAGTTGTTAAATATCTCGAAAACAACGAAAGCCTCGCCATTCCCTGCTAAAAACTACCCCACGGAGGAAAATGACGCACGTTTCATTCCCTTATTGTCCGATTTTTCGGCAAATGAAATTTGTCCCAGCGCCAAGCCCTGCAGCATTCCGCCACACGCATTTCATTTATCGATCCTTATTGCGTAAATTCTTGTGCAAACAACTAATTCTCACCTGTACCACACACAGTCCTCTTTAATTCGTCATTAGTCAATCGCTGACGGATGACCTTTCCCCGTTCACTCTAACGACTTTTAAATGAGTCAATGAACCGCGTTAATATCGCGGAAAATCCTTCGTCCCTTTTTCGGGATGGTCGAGATAGCGTGAATTTTAATAAGACGTGATTGATTATTGCGACGATGCA